TATGTATAACTTGTCTTTGAGTGTATTTTTAAAAAGATATTTAAATATTTTGAAAAAAAACATATTTAAACAATAGGAGATTTGAGAATCTCATGGTTAAACTTATTGATTTTATGTTGTCAAAGACATGTTTGAACTTGATCGGACCTATGACATATGACAGTCAAAGATAATTTTGGATACTTGAAATCAACGAGTTTATCACTTGGGTTTGCTTAAGTTTATGACCCATCTTTGACAACTCAAAATTAACAAGTTTGATCATGTTATTCTCAAATCTCACATTATTTATATATGAGTTTTTAAGTAATTAAATATAATTTTTTATATACACATTCATTGAGTGATTAAAGATAAAATTTACACATGTGCATTGTCTAGGAATGGCAACGGGGCGGGTTTTGCTCACCCCGTCCCCATCCTCGAAATGAATTCTCATCCCCGACCCGATCCTCGTCGGGTTTTTTATCGGGGCGCCCCGTCGGGGATTTTTTTTGTCCCGTCCCCGAACCCGACCCGAAATATTATACCCGAACCGAACCCGAAAATATTATATATATATATATATATAATTAATATAAAAAATATAAAAATATTATATATATATATATATAATCGGGGCGGGGCGGGGATACCTTACCCCGAACCCGAAAAAATCCCCGATACCCGACCTGATCCGATATCATTCAAACCTGATCCAACCCGAACTTGACCGAATTTCGGGTCATTCTACCATCCTAGCATTGTCGTGCTCATTTAGCTTGAATTGTGCACGTAAAAATATGTCTCCAACATTGCATCGTGTGCATCTCTATTTTTGGATAAAATTCATATAGTTTTAAACATTTTTGATCCATTATTCTCCTTTCTTTCATTTTGGTCCTGACATATGTAAACGTTAAAAATTCCGTCCTAATTTTTTGTCATGTAGACCAAAGCACATCATCTTAAAAGTACGAACGACATTATACGCCTTTGATATTTTCACTAAATAATATTTTCTGAATGTTATTTATATAAATAATTACTAAATAGGTATTATTCCCATAGAATTATCTTAGATAAAAGGACGAATTTTTCCATATGTTGATTCAACCCATAAATACCTATAGTCAGCATGCATGTGATGTTGTATAAATTCAGTACTTGGATGTTAAAGCATTAAGTAATTATTACCATATGCCTTACTAATAAATTGATAATAAAAGCGGATGGTCGTGACAAAATATATTATTTAAGAGAGAATTAACCACCTCAAACTAATTGCATTTCTGATAACAAATAAAAAGAATGAAAGAATATTATGTACTAACCATTAATTACTCAAAATTTGGTGTAGTAGGGCTAGGATAATTATCAGGTGAATATTAAATCCTTAGGGGGTGTTTGGTTCAAGGATTGTGGGATTTCCATGGGATGGGAATCCCACATTCCCATGTTTGGTTGGCCGAGAATCTCATTCCCGGTAATGTTTTATTATCAATAGTAGATTTTTTGGGGTATATTACCGGGAATGTCATTACCTCCCTTCTCTTAGGTATTGTAACATTACCGGCGTTTTGGACTAAAATGCCCTTAAATTTTTATTTTTTTTCAAAAATATTATTCTTCTATCATTGAATAATAAAAATTCTACAAAGGTTAAATTACAAATTTATCCTTAAATTATTTTAGATTTACAAAACAAAATTCTATAATTAAAATTTTATATGAAGTTCAGGGATTAAAAAAAATTTACCCTTTCATTAAATCTTTTTTATATTTTTAATTTTGTAAAAAAATTTATATAAATATTATGAATTTAATTTTTTAAAGAAAATATATAAATATTTTACAATTTGTAATATTAAACAAATATATAATAAGGACAATTTGGTCAAATATATATTCCAATAATCTTTTATTCCTTTAACCAAACACGGTAATCTTACATTCCTGCTAAACCAACCAAACACAAAATGCAACATTCCCAGTAATCCTATTCCCTGGTAATCTTTTATTCTCAGTGGTAATCTTACATTCCGTAAACCAAACGCACCCTAGAAGTTCAATATTTGGAGAAGGGGCTTCTTTAAATGCAATTTTCAATTATGGGTGTATTTATTGGAGGGTTTGATTGCAAAATTTTATTATTATTTTTGTATGTCCTATCACATAACAACGTGAGTTTTTAAGGAAGGAAATGATTTAGGGATGATAGTATGATCCGAATTCGATGGAGAAATCCGAAATCCGGTCAAGTCCAGGTCGGGTTGAATGATATCGGGTCGGGTTCGGGTTCGAGGATTTTTTCGGGTCGGGTTCGAGGTAATGTATCCCCGCTCCGACCCGCCCCGATTATATATATATATATAATATTTTATATTTTTTATATTAATTATATATAAAATATTTTCGGGTTCGGGTTTAGATATAATATTTTGGGTCGGGTTCGGAGAATGGGCAAAAAAAATCTCCGACGAGACGCCCCGATAAATAATTCGTTAGGGATCGGGTCGAGGATGAGGATTCATTTCGGGTTCGGGGACTGGGCGAGCAAAACCCACCCCAAACCCGACCCATTGCCATTCCTAAAATGATCTTTCATTTCTGTTTTCCCCCCTTTAACTGAAAACTGCATAAAGTAAAAGAACTATAAAAACTGTATTGTATACTATAACGTATTCATTAGCCCAAAGTGCAAATTCAGCTGCTATAACTTTAGCACTTAAAGTGCAAAACCCTGCTGCATTTGACATATAATAAGGCCCATTACTGTATAGTGAAATTGTTGGCCAATGGACTCAAACTGTTTTCCCACGTCAACCAAATGTACAAGAGCATTACTTATCATTTTATTTTAGGCATAATGTTGAATTTAGGACGATAAAGTTTGATTTGGTTCAGGTTAAGGACGTGTTTTTGGATGAACTTTTTTTAATCTGATTTCATCCAAGATAATACTCTATAATTTCTTTTTATATATTTAGGAATAATATATATATTTCTCAACTACCTTCATATTTTATCAAATAAGAATAGATGAGAAATTATTTTTATCATGTTGAATTGGGTATGAGACGAGTTTTTATTCTAAAAATTTAGATCAATTTTGAAACAGATAAAACCTCTCTAAACCCAACTTAAGTATGAGGTAGAAAGATATACTACGTAAATTGATCAGAAATACGACTCAATTCCACCAACATGCTTAATTGATATATATATATATATATACCAAATTAGGTCTTATATCATTCAAATTTTAAACTTAAATTAAATTTTTAATAATTATTTTTGAACAATTCCTACTTAAGGGGAGGGGGATGGGAAATTTTTACTCATAATAGATTTTGAACCCACAATCTGGAGAAGAAAGTGTCAACCGAGAACCTTTTAATCATATACTCTAGAGATTGTTAATAAATCCTTAATACATTTAAAATTAAATAATTTAATATTTTTAATATTTAATCTTAATTTTATCTCGACTTGGACGTAAACATAAGTATATTATTCCCATTTTAAATGTAATATACTTGTTTTGGTTCAAATATCTTTAAATTTTAAAGCCCAACTTTTAGGACTAAAAACCTAACATTGAATTTGTTAATTGATCGTTGATTGTTGGAGTGTTGTAACATTGGCATTAAATTCAATTGACTAATTCATTGTTTTCTATTGAAAGCTGAGTCCCAACAAAGAAAATGGCTGCCGTTGTTGAGTGCCAATTTAAACTTGAAAGGTCAAATTCTTCCCCTTTAATTACTTAGGTAGTGTTTGTTTTGAAGAGGTAAAGGTATGTACTCTACGGATCACATCTGCAGTAGAAGAGGTGAACCAAAAGTCTGCAGTCTGCAAGAGGAAGACTATTTTTTTAACGTATGTACACTACTAAAATAAACTGAAATATAAAATAAACTGTTTTTTTTTAAACTTAAAAGAGTTTTACAATACTGAAATTTAAATAATTTTAGTTTTAATACTGAAATTTAAATAATCCATACAACTACAATAATACTTTTTTTTAAAATAAATCAATTCATATTTTAAAATAAATCAATCCATATTTTAGAATAAATCAATCCATATTTTAAAATAAATTAATTCATATTTTAAAATAAATCAATCCATATTTTAAAATAAATTAATCCATATTTTAAAATAAATCAATCCACATTTTAAAATAAATCAATCCATATTTTAAAATAAATCAATCTATATTTTAAAATAAATCAATCTATATTTTAAAATAATTTTTTTTCATATTTTAAAATAAATCAATTCATATTTTAAAATAAAATTTTTCATATTTTAAAATAAATCAATCCATATTTTAAAATAAATCAATCCATATTTTAAAATAAATCAATCCATATTTTAAAATAAAATTTTTCATATTTTAAAATAAATCAATATATATTTTAAAATAAATTTTAAAATAGATTTAAATGATTTTAATTTTCTCGCAGACCTTTGAAGACATAAAATCATGTTTGCACCAAGAAGAGCTCGCTCAGACTTTTGAAGAGCTTCTGTCTTCTAAAAAACAAACGGTCTGCGAAACCCAATGTCTGCGTGTGGTCTGCGCGGCGCAGACATAAGAGCTTTGCAGACCTTACACAGTAAAAACAAACACTACCTTACACACTAATGTTCATTTATATATAAAATATGCTTAACTTTCCTTTTCTCTGCTTCTCTCTCAGTCATGCTTTCAGTTTTTTTTTTTTTAATGATGATATGATATTATCTTATGGTGACATGTTAGCATTAATGTTTTAAAGGTAGATGACCAAGTCATTAGGTGTAATTTAAAAAAAAGGGTTGGGTGACTAAAACAAAACTACGGGCATAAGTGGATGTCTAAATATGTAGTTTACCATTTTATTTTTATGTTTTGTTGCAACTGCTGCTTTAATTTCCTCAAACTACCCCTGGCCCATTATTGGGTCTCACCAAGATTCTAAACTATGGGTTCCCTTTTTGTATTATATTTTGAAGAACTATTTTTTTTTCTTTCTATCTCTCATTATAAATCCTCCATTGTTAAGTGCTTATCGACTATCTTTTTTCAAATCCACAGAAACCTCTCTCCTTTCTGGATATGGAAGATTACTCCATCAATTCATCTGCTGTTTCTAAACAAAAAACATCACCCGAGGACGATGATTCAGTCGAAGAAAGCGGCTGGACTGCTTATTTTGAAGCTTTCTCCGACAACAACAATCAATATCAGCAGCAGCAGCAGCAAAATAGTTATTGTTCTAGTCTCAGTTGCGGTTCTTCGTTGATCTCCGATGCCGCCACGACCCGAGGCGCTGCATGGAAATCATCGTCGTCCCACAATAATATCGACCTTCATCACCGTGTTTTTCCCAAGAAGTTGAGGTTCAAGAAAACAAGAGCCGCAGAGATTTGTGACGAGGATGATTCTTTGGAGGATACCGCAAGCTCACCGGTCAATAGTCCCAAGGTAATATATATACATACATACATACTGTATTTCTTTAGCTTTGGTGTTTCTTAATTTGATGGTTTCAACAACATTTTTAATAGGTTAGTGATGACTGGAAATCAAACAATATGAATCCCAGAAAGAGAGAAGACCAAGCTGCACGTAATTCTCTGGTAAAATTCGATTATTCTCAGAATCATTGTGATAATTAATATATATATATATATATATATATATATATCCCCTTAAGTTGATGGTTTCAACTTTCAACAACTTTTAATAGCTGCACATTGTTGTGTGTTTTTAGGGGAAGGAAAGTGCAGATAATTGTTCAGGCATACATATTGAAGAAGAAGAAGAAAACAAATTGAATTTTCGTGATGGGAAGAATGATTGTACAGAGTTAAACAAAAGAGGGTTGTGCTTGGTTCCTTTCTCGATGTTAGTTAACTATCTCCGTTAATATCGTTAATCCGCATACACCAACGATTTTCGATCATATCGTTTTTCACATGATAGATATTACTGTAATTGATCGTCACGGCCAAACACAACATGATCGAAACTAGTTGTCTGAGAACAAGAAATAGGAATCAAGAAAGAACGACAATAATATTTAGTTGCACCCACTCCCTCTTCTTCCCCTCCTGTCTTCCTTCTAGCTACAAGTACTTTTCATATCATTGTATAAAGAAATTTCTTACTTTCTTTTTATCATCAATTTTCTCCTCTATTTTTTTACGACTATACATAAAATTAATGTTTTTTTTTATTAAAAAAACTTGAATTCGAGCACTTACATATTTGCATAATGAATATATATTGTTTATAAATTTAAAAAGTATGAGCATATATTATCTCTTGTAATTATCGTAATATTAAAAAATAAAATAAAATCAATGTCAAAGTATGTTGTGTATCCAAATATACATCTAACAATGTATTGGGCACGTTACTACTTAAAACAAGATTCAATTCCTTAATAAGAAAAGTGTGAAATATGGGTATCTCTTTGTTTTTGAAAGTGCTGTGATTTATGATTAAAAAAATTATTTTCATGAAAATATTATATTCAATTTTGTTTTCTCCAAAATAATACTCAAATTTTCATTAATAATTTGATTTATTCTAATATAAAACAAAGGGCAAAAGAACAAAAAAATTGAGACACTTTTTAGAGGGCGTTCAACCAAGTAATAAATGTAAGAACTGTGAACATCTTCTGTAGTTCAATTTTCAAAAGCAAAAGGAAAGTACTTTGAAAATGGAATCCAATTAATAAAAAGGATTTGTCTCAAGCGAATATTAGTCTCGTGTTTAACTTTTGAATAATTTATATATGTTTTTAAATATATTTTTGAGAAAATATTGTATAAAATTATTTATTTATTACATATAATATATTAATTAAAATTTTATGTACTGAAATGAAATAATAATAAATTTATTTATATATCAATTGTTGAAAGTAGCTAATGTGCCATGTAGTGGGTGATTGAAAGGCAAATCAAACCAACAAATATTCCGTTTAAATAGGTTGACAACACATGAACTTAGGACTCAAATAATTAATTAAATTTTATACTTAGAGGTTAAGAAATATTATTGTAGGGTTTATCAAATAAATGTCCAAAGTTTTCCATTAATGTAGTATTAGTAAAATGAAAGGAGAACTAATGGTTTAATTTCCACATTAATAACAATAATGACAATCACATGTAAATTCAAGGGACTAAAAAGTAAATTATGACATTTTTAAAGGTATCAAATTTATTTCATTTTAATAACATTTGTCCATTGTTTAACACTTGTGTATTTTTTAAAGTTTCAATTAATAAGGTTCAAAATTTTATTTTAGGAAAAAAATTATAAATCTGAGATGATTACAAGATAGTATTTATTCAGAAGATTCTTAATTATTTGACAATGAATGTTCAAACAATATAATAGACATGATGCTCAAACTCGAAACCTCTAAAAATATAATCATCCATTAACCACTGAAATTGTTTTTTAATAGACATTATTTATTTCCATAATAATAAAAACAAAGCTCTAATGTATAAAATTGAGTTTATTTAACTTTGATTTTATAAGTTATTTGTACATAAATAAATTAATAAACAAAAGACAAAGGTTTAAATATTAATAAATATCCAACACCTCTTGCAGGCCATTCATTTAAATGATTCAGAAGGAAGACCCCTCCATGTGTTGAAGCATTAAATACAGGTTTAAACGTTTAAAGAGAAACCAGAGTCGTTAAAAACAATTTTCAGCTAAAACATCCCCTCCAATTTATTTATTATTTAATAAAATAAAATAAAAAATCATTGTGACCTTTATAATTTTTTTAATTTAATGTGACTCTCAAATTTTAAAAAAAAACATAATGTGGGTTTTTAACCAACGATTTTTTATCGTTGTTCGTTACAATACTAATGTGACATTTTACTGTGACTAGTAATATGATTGATGATGTGACAGATGGGTTAAATGATTTTTTGGTCGAGTTCGAGGGCCAAATTAATTTTTTTTAAAGTTCAAGAGTTTATTTGATTTTTCAAAAAAAAATATTTCAGATCTAAAATATAAAAATGTTAAATATAATAAACACCAAAAATAAAATTTAAATTACTAAAAAATATATTATTATTTTTACCTCAAATTTAACCAGACTTTTATTTATATAAACATGAACTCGTCCATTCTGTACAATTGTATTTTATATATTTACTTCTAATTATCTTAAACTCTAAATGTATTTCTAATTCAACTTGATTAAATTGCTATAAAATTAAAGTAAATAAATATAATAAATTCTTTTAAAAAAATAAAAGTTATAAAATTAAAATTTATGTATAAATTATCATGAAAATATGTATTTAAAAATATAAAAAAATAGTTATACAATTAAGAAGAGCATTTTAATGAATATAACATGAAAGAGAAAAATAAAATTCACTTAAACTTGATTTAAAAATAATAATAGGAAAATTGTCATACATTGCTTAGATACAATTCTATAAAGTCAAGGTAGATATGAACTCAACGTGTTTGAGATTTCTTTTACTATCCCTAGTCATTATTTAATCTTTTAATTTTTCAAAGAATAACAAATTTGTCTTCATAAAATAAAAATAAAATAAAATTAACATGCACGAACGTAATAATATAATTATACTGCTAAATAAAATAAAATTCACATTATGCTTCATCTCTAAATTGAATGAATCACTTAACAATAACATTTTCAATCACTCTGGTTATATATATATATATATATATATATATATATATATATATATTAATTTTTAGTAATTTAATTTTTATTTCTAGTATTTTTATATTTATTTTTTTTATTTGTATAGTTTAAATTTAAATTTTAAAATATTTTTTTTGAAAAAAAATCAAATAATTCCTTGAAGTTAAAAAAAAGAATTTGGCCCTTGAACTCGATCAAATAAACCAATTTAGTTCATATGTCATATCATCTGGCGCATCATTAGCCACTGTAAACTGTCACGTCAGCATCGTAACTATGAACGACGGAAATCGTTGGTCGAAGGGTCACATTAGATTTATTTTCTAAGTTTGAGGGTTACATTGAGTGAAAAATATGAGAGCCATATTGATTTTTTAAAAGTACGAGGACCTCACATACCTTTTACCTTAATATTATCACATTCATATTCTTCTAAACAAGATGGATCAAAGTAGATGTTTGGGTGTAATCGTATTCCTTAAAAATTTTAAATTCTCATAAAATATAAATATTTTTATATTTTCTTATTAATAATCTAATTACATATAATATGAAATTTTATAATTTCGCACTATGTAAACTTTTAATATAATTTCCTAAGTTTGCGACAGTCCCTGCTTCTAAATACACGTGTATGCATGGCCGAATGTATATAGAGTGGGAGGAGCAAGTCTCCAAAATTTTTTGGTCTAATAGCATTTTAGGTCCTTATCAATTTAAACTTAAGTAAAAATATACTTTTTCCTTCTAATTTTTTACATCAAATACATAATAAGTTCCTACTATTTTGAACTTAGCTATTTTATCCCTCTCAATATTTGATCCTACTTCGTCCCTGTGTACGTGTTAAAAAAATACTGTACTTCTGAATTTAACAATTTTTTAAATTTAACATATAATATTTTTAATCATTTTAATATCTTAACTTGCTCTAGTACAATTTGAACTACTTTTTAATTAATTTTTGTTTTCTTTTACCTTTTTCATCTATTCTAAAAAGCTTTGTTAATTATTCCAAAATCTAGGTTGTGACATAAAGAGTGACCTAATTTGCCTTTAAATTAAGCTTTACTTACATAAATATGTCATCATGAAGAGTCGATAATAACTTTCAGCACGTTCTTATATACATCTAATTATATAAATTATATAATTTAATTCAAATATAAATGAGTTACAAACCCAATTTCATGTAATCTATATAATGGTTTTGGTCCCGTGAAGTGTAAAGGAGCGTGCATGAATCGGGGGACACGTTATTTATTTAATCATGAATTTATTTTTACTTGTTAGTGAAAATAAATAAATAAATAAATAAAAAGATTTTCCAGCTGTAATTTACGGAAGCATTTAAGGAAAAATAAGAATTTTCTTTTCTTCACATGGCCGGCAACTCTATTATTGGGATAGTATTTTTATTCAAATGACAATTATTATACAAAAGATTAGCTTATTTTTATTCGAATTGGACGGCGCTTTAACCTTTCTTAAAAGAGAAAAATAACAAAAACAAAAACATATTAATGAATTAAATAAATAAATATTTATCAATTGTTATTGGCTTAAAACAAAAAAAAATGTTCCATGAATTTGGCAAGTTTGATTAAATTATCCTTCAATTTTTATATATATTAAATTGACCCCTGTAGTTAAAATTTTCCTTCAACTTTTGTTAATAAATTATCAATTCAGTGACCAATTTGATCCCATAAAAAATTCAAGAGCTAATTTAACTAAAACTACCAAGTTTTAAAGTTAATTTGATTTAAAATAAAGTTTAGAGATCAATTCGATTAAATTTAATAAGTTCACACCTTAAGAAAAATAAAATTGAGTTATGTATATACTCAAATGAATAATAAACAGAGAGGATATTTTTATTAAACAACGAATATAAATAATAGAACAAATATAAAAGATAAAAAAGTATAAATAATAAATACAAAAATGCCAAATCCGAATGCATATACAGTTCTGGTTATAAACTACTGTATATAATATACAATGCATGAACATTTGGAGTGGATATATATTATAAATTATATGGTAAGTACGCGGATGAACATTTGGTTAGATAAAAATGTTGGTGCGTCGGCATATAGTTTCATTTAACTGAATTCGAAGGGGACGTTGTTGGTTTTAAAAGATTCGAGTTCGAGCAGTTGTATATGTAGAGCATGTGCATTACTAAATATCAGTAGTTAAGAATGATTATAAATAATATTACATTGTAATCACATCAGATTAAAAAATTAAATTAAATAGATTAATACTTTTCAAAGGTTGATTTCAAATATAACTAAATGTAATTTAGAGATTTGAATTGATTATAAATAGTTAGGTATTATATCGAAAAAAAACAGTGAAATTCAAGTAGAATATTAAGATAT